GCTGTTCTACCCACACAAAAAAAAACGACGAGAACAGGAGCCTGAAGACCAATCGGCTCTTCCCCACCCCGAACAAGCCAGACCCGATGCCGCAGAACTTGGCATTCCTCTTCACCAAGATCACGCCGGACGGGGGTGCTGCACTTGATACTAGTTTTGGTTCGCAACTGTAGCTTCAAGTACGCTTTACAAGAAGCAGGTTGGGACGGGATGTGTCCGTAAATTTGGCACACTTCGGCATGGTGCCGTTTGTGACCCCCCTCCCACCACAAGAAAAAGGTCGATTTTTTAAGAGCAGTTTTTTTAGGAGCAGATGATCTACATGCCACTTGTCAGAGTTGGGTAACGTTTTACATTTTCATGAGTACTTAAACTTAAGAAGGAAGAGCAGTTCATGTCTTCAATGCTATCCCAACCATGGACTAGGTGGAATGTCCTTACCGCAATTTTCTTCACGCAAGTGCTGATGGTGATCGGCTACTGTGCAGCCTTGGCTACCTTCCCGGACTACTGGTTGACCTGCACGCTCTGCTTCGGCCTCCCGTTCTCGTACATCGCCATCCAGAACATTTACATTGATCACGATGTGATGCATGGTGCCACTTTCCCGGTTTACGAGTGGCAGCGCTTCTTGACGCATCCGTTTGCAGATTTTTTCAGCCTTCCGTGGGAGGAATTCGTGCTGGAGCACAACAGGCATCATGCCTCAACTGTGGACTTGCTGATCCAGGGCGAGTTCGGCTGGGACCCTGAGGAGTTCCATTACGCCCTCCAGCAGTGGGCCGGGCCATGGAGCTCCAACTGGTACAAGTACCTGCTCACCGTCCCATTTATCCCAGTGATACATTTCTTTGGTCTGAACGATACCGGCTCTCTGTTTGCCTTGGAGTGGTGGATGCACTTCCCCGACGAGGGTGCAGGTGGCAAGTGCAACAAGGAGCTTCCCGGCTTGACTGACCAGTTTTCTTTGGTACTCGTTTTGATAGTTTTGAGATAGGAGAGCACATGGCGGCGGCGCACGGGGCATGTTTCTGGCTTGCACGCAATTGTTGTGTCTCTTCACGCCGAGGTTCTGGAGCAAGTGGATTCCACGCCGCGTAAAGCACAATGCCTTCGTGCTCTCGCTGTGGGCCTGTGTGTGGCTGCTCGGCACCTACCCTCTGGGACGTCCTCTGAGCGAGGGCTGGCGGTTCATGTTCACTGTGTCCGTCTTCGCTCGCATCGGCTACTCCGCGGCCTGGATGTTCATCACCAACTTCACTCATAGCTTCCAGGCGGCTTCAATTTAGGATCATATTGAGTTTCCCCGTTTTGTCTTTAGACAGATTCACCGTAAACCCGAAACACTAAACGCTGTGCTAGGTTAACACCCGCCGAAACCCTTACACCTTCAATCCAGATTCCTCATCGAACATCCGTGGCCAATATGGAAGCTTAAATGATGCTCAACAGGATTTGTTAGGTTTCCTTGCTATCAACATACTATAACTGATCTCTTAACGATGCCTCCGGTGTCACCCTAAACCCTAGATCTTAAACCCTAAACTCTAAAGGTAGTATACAGCCGAGGCTTGCCTTGGAACGAGTTCCTGGCACAGGATCCGGGCCGCACCTGGCCTGTCCTTCATAACGTGATGGCCATGGTTCTGGGAGGCGGCGTTGGGCTCTTAACATTACAGCAGCCGTTCAGGGTTTTGCAAGGTGTGATTCGGAAGAGTTGCAGGAAAGCACCGATGGAACGAGATGCTCTTCCACGATGTGGCTCGGCTTTGTTAGAATCGGAGTTGAGTGCCAAACAAATTCAAGCGCACCGTGCTGTGTGTCAGGTTGCAGCAGTCCAAATGTCCCCCCTAAAAATCAGGACAGTTTTCGGACTCCGGTCGGGCG